ACAGAACAACTGTGTCAACTCTTGAAACTGTGCCTGCAGTCAACCTACTTCACATATGGGGAGCAATATTATAGGCAGAAACATGGGTGTGCTATGGGGTCTCCAGTTTCTCCTATTGTTGCCAACCTGTACATGGAGGAGGTAGAAAAGAGAGCCTTGACGTCCTTTTCAGGGACACCACCAAGTCATTGGTTCAGGTATGTTGACGACACCTGGGTTAAAATTAAATCTCAGGAAGTCCAACATTTTACTGACCACATCAACTCTGTGGATAAATACATCAAGTTCACACGAGAAGATGTAAAAAATGGCAGGTTGGCTTTCTTGGACTGTGAGGTCTCAGTCTCTGATAGAGGACATTTGCAAACTGAGGTGTACCGCAAACCCACCCACACAGACCAGTATTTGCAGTTTGACTCCCATCACCCTTTGGAGCACAAGTTAGGAGTCATCAGGACTCTGTATCACAGAGCAGACAGCGTCCCCACTAGCTCAGGAGCCAGGCAGAAGGAGAAATCCCACACAAGACAGGCTCTAGAGCAATGTGGATATCCTAACTGGGCCTTCCTAAAAGCAGAGAAGAAACCCAAACAGGACTCCAGTCAGCCAACAGGTGAAAAGGAGGAACCCAGACCCAGACCAGTGGTCATTCCATATGTTGAGGGAGTATCAGAGAAACTGAGACGTTTATTTTCTAAACATAACGTCCCAGTGGCTTTTAAACCCCAAAAAAAAAAAAAAAAAAAAAAAAAAAAAAAAAAAAAAAAAAAAAAAGCCTGATGATGTTGACCAGATGAGGCCCACCACAGAAGATCAACATCATCAGGCCAGGACTCTGCAGTCTACACTCATCTCCAGGCCAGCGGTCACTCTTTCAAGGATGAAGATGTTCACATCCTGGACAGAGAGGAACGATGGTTTGAGAGAGGAGTAAAGGAGGCCATCTTTGTGAAAAGAAACCGTCCATCATTAAACAGGGGTGGAGGCCTCCGGGTTCAACTGTCCCCCTCTTACAATGCTGTGATTGCTAGTATCACTCAGCCCTCTGTGAACAGTAAACAGCCATCAGTGTGCTAATGATCCATTGCTAGGCTGATGGTCCTTCTTGAGCATGTGATCAGCTGGTTTTGGTTGTCAGCAGCAAAACTGGTTGATCCACTCTGAGAAGGTGCTATTTAAGAGACTGAGCTGAATACAGCACCTCAGACTGAGGAAGTCTCTCGGATGAGAGACGAAACGTTTCTACATTTTTTGTTGTTTTGCTTTGTTTTTTTTGTTTTTTTTGAACGTCCAGAGGACCAGATTTAACTTTTTTAGACTACTTTTAGGTTAAATTCAAATCGTTTAAATGTTTAAACCACTGAAATAGAAATACACTTGTCCACTGCAACGGACAACCACAATGCAGCCAATGCTAAACAAAGCAAGAATTTGTGACACGACCTACATAGGTGTAATTTTTAAAAAATATATTAGTAAATGGTTGCGTCAGGAAGGGTATCATCTGGCGTAAAAATAATTGTCAAGTCTTTGTGCAACTTAGTTCGCTGTGGCAACGCCTGAAGAAGGGAGCGGCCGAAAAAACAAGAAAAAAAAATTGGTGAAATAATATATTGGCTAGACAGCAATTAAACACTTTAGTTCCAGAATTATGAGGAAAAATATTACAATATATATTAGTCTAAGCAATTAATTATGGACACTAAAGAAATACAGGTTCCAGAGGTGTTCATTTCTCAGAGGCCACTAATCCTGCACATTTTATATGGGGGGTGTCTGTTCCAACAAACCTGATTTGAACCAATGGGTGATCAACAGGTTCCTGCAGAGCACGAAGAGGTAATTCACCTGTTGATTCAGGTGTGTTGAGCAGGGGATCAGGTAAAACATGCAGGATGGTGGCCCTTAAAGATTGGACACACCTGGGTTAGACTAAAAATCCATGTGAAATACTTAATTATTACTACAACAGCAGTGTACTGGTCTATCAAGAATAATTGCAGGACTTGGTTATTTTCTTTACAGTAGCAGTAGCTTAATGGGTCAGCATGTGGTTGTTTGACTGGACTTGGTGGGAGGGTCACTGCTGAAGTCTCATGACAAATTAGACCTTGTGGTCAGAATTTGCACAATATACGTTTATTTACAAAAGGCTTTATCAAAGTGTTTATGGACTGATGACTTACCATGCACTTACTTACCATGGACATGTGACTACATGTAAGCAACACAGTACACATAGCACCTAGCAAGATGGCTGCCACAAATCTCGACATTCATGGCCATTCAAGGATATTTCGATTTCAGTGGCTTTAACGTGTGTTTTCTAGACTGGACATAAATAACATATTTAAAGGAAATATTCTTCCAACCTAGAATGAATGAATGAATGAACAAAGAAACGTATGAACATCCATCCATCCATTATCTTTATCTGCTTCTTCCTTTTCGGGTCACGGGGGTCACTGGTGCCCATGTCCAGCAGACACTGTGCGAGAGGCGGGGGACACCCTGGACAAGTCGCAAGTCCATCACAGAGCCCATCCAAACTACAACTGACTTGTTTTGTATTTTGTCTACAAAATTTATCTTCCAAACTGCAATTGAAGGGTTATTTATCCTGCCATATTTTCCACAAAAAATGCTTTAAACACATAAAAATGTACATTGTGTACAACAACCAGATGGTGTTGATACCTATAAGCTTATAAATCCTGTCATTGTTATCACATATGGACTGTCTGGACGAAGCTTCTGTTTAGGCAGGTGATTCTTCCTGACTGTCTCATTAGAAGTGCTGACAGGAAGTGACAAACACAGGTGTGTGGTTACCATGGTGACTCTAATAAGACCCTAACATTACGTTTTAACTTCTAAAACAGTTTACACATGAAAACATTTTGTCAGCTTAGATTCTTACAAAATAAACTCTAAATTGTTGAAATTTCAGGCAGCTACATTTGCAACTTGCAACAATACTTCAGAAAAAAATCTTATTTAGTTCTTCTTCTTTCAGCTGTTCCCTCTTCAGGCCTCTCCACAGTGAGTCATCCTCCTCCATCTCACTCTGTCCTCACTCCAACTACCTCCATGTCCTCTCTAACTACATCCATATATCTCCTCTGTCTTTTTTCTGACAGCTGCATTTCTAACATCCTTCTACCGGTATACCCACTGTCCGTCCTCTGGACATGTTCAAATCATCTCAGTCTGGCCTCTCTAACTTTATCTCCCAGTTGTGCAACCTGTGCTGTACCTCTGATGATCTCAATCCTAATCTTATCCATCCTCGTCACTCCTAAAGAGAACCTCAACATCTTAATTTCTGCCACTTCCAGTTTTCTCCTGTCTTTTTGTTAATGCCACTGTCTCCAGACCATACAACATAACTGATATCACAACTATCTTGTAAACTTTTCCTTTAACGTTTGCTGACACCCTGAAACTTTTCTCCATCCACTCCATCCTGCCTGGACTCTCTTCTTCACCTCTTTACCACATTCCCCATTTTCCTGGACAGTGGACCCCAAGTACTTGAGGTCCTGCACCTTTGTGAACTCTGCTCGTTGTAGCCTCACTGTTCCACCAGACTCCCTCTCAGTCACACACATGTACTCTGTCTTACTATGGCTGACTTTCATTCTTCTTATTTCAAGTGCATACCTCCACCTCTCCAAGTTCCCTTCCACCTGTTCCTTGTTCTCACGACAGAACACAACATCATCTGCAAACATCATAGTCCATGGGGATTCGGTCCATCACCAGAGCAAACAAGAAGGGGCTCAGAGCTGATCCTTGATGCACTCCCACCTCCACCTTGAAGATATGTCACTCCTA